CTTTCCTCGCCACATTTAAGGCTGTTTATGAAATGTTATAAAAGAGCAGCCAGCCAGCCAGCGAATTAAAAAGAAAATCGCACAGTCACACAATCGCACAATCGATGTCTGGCTCTTTTGTCGCTGATTTATTGCGCTTATGACGAAAAATTGCCGAAACCAAGTCAGGTCTTTATATTCGCCAAATAAAATAATGCATGGAAATTGGCCAGTTACAGTGGAAGCTCCCCAATCGCAAGCCCATTAGCTTTTTATGTAACGAATTTGTGTCAAGTGTAAAGAGCATTTGCGTCAATTATATTTGTAATACTTTTCAGCGACACAAAGATTTGAAACTTATGTAACAGCTCTCTGATGGGTTACATCGTTTTATCTATTTTATTTGGGGCTTACTGCAATAAAAAGTATCTTCTATTCATTTTGAAGAAAATTCATTAAGCAATTACTTAAAATATCAATTGGTTTTAAAGCGGAGGTCATGAAATATAACAAGGTATATTTTTTAGAGTGATAAGTTGTTATTTAATTGATCTCCGCAAAATCTATACAGTAATTAAGATTTTTGCTCAAGAGCTTACTATAGTTAGTGCACATACTGTTGTTAGTTAGTTGTTTGTTGTTTATTTGAGTGTTTACTGTGCTCGCATGCTAGTGAAGACGATCCAAACGAAGATAAAGTGGCAAAAGCCGAGCGAACGGCCAAAACAGCTGCGCTGTTGGATGTTGGATCTTGGATCTGGGATCTCGGATCTCGAATCTGTTCGCATTGTTTGAATGCGACTGCGTTTATCAGCCAGCAGCAGCAGCAGCAGCTAGCTGTACCGTTATCATTAACCAGCCGGCGCAGAAGCAGAAGCAGCGATGCCGACAGCGACGCGAGCAGAGCACGCATGAGAGCGAAACACACGCAAAATAAAAGCGGGTTGGGCGTTGAAAATGGAGAAAAAGGGGGCGGTGGGAGAAAAGAAAGAAGTAAAGTGAAGTGAAGAGAAATGGAGAGAAGGAGGAGAAAGAGAGGAGGCGGAGAGCCAGGCAGAGCAGCACGTCAATTGGTGAAAGGTGCGCTGGATGCGATAAAGCTTCCATCATATTTTACATTTTCGTAATTTGCTAAAAGCACACATTACACACACACACACATACACGAAAAAAGGAGCACACACATGCTTTGTGTTGTGTGCGTGTGCGATTTCATTTAATTAGATTGCGTTTTAATAATGCCACAGACACATACACATCTACATCAAGGGAAAGATAAACGCAAAGATACAGATACAAACATATACATCTGTATATATATATTTGTATCTGTATCTGTAATAGAATTTCGCTCACATGGGAACATGGGACAAGCGACATTCAATCGCCGATATTGATAGTGTAATTTAATTGATTTGCTAGCAGAGCAGAGAAACAAGAAGAAAAACTCGAAGCAACAACAGAATAATAATGAGCAAACAGGAAGAGGCGTCTATAAAAAGAATGAGACTCGAAATACCCTGGAGTATCTCTTGGTTGTATTGGTTTTATAATAACCCTTTTGGGATTTGGATGAAACTCGGCAGAACAGTGTATTATAGCATAAAACTTCATCATACTAAAATTGGTAATAGTACCTATAATTTAAATAAAAAAACATACCATTTAATTAAAGATGGTTATTCTTTCACTAAAGTTTGAAATTGTTTTCAAGAGTACTTTCTCCGCCTGAATGCCAAGTTAATAGGCCCCTTTTCAAGGGCAGGGTAGTAAAAGCAGACAAAGGCCGAATCGGAGCCTCTTGGCAACAGCTTCTGGGCCTTGTGCCATCAAGATGGACACGAACATGGATGTGGATGTGGATGTGGATGTGGATGTTTGGCTAGATAATGCGGCATGTGGATGTGAATGTGGAGGCAGTGGGGCTGCATTTGTTCCGCTTGGCGATGCCCGGCACTCCATTTGCAGTAATTGGCGCTGCTTGTGCCTCCGAGGCCCCCGATAATGATGATAATGGTAATGATGATGAGTCCGAGGATGAGGATTGTGTTGCAGCTGATGATGTTGCTGTTGCCGCGGTTGCTGTTGCAACGGTCTCTAACTGTTGTGTTTGCCCGGCCAACATTGCTTTGTCTAATTGCTTGAGGACGTCTCTGTGCATCTTCGCCGGAGATCAGCAGCAGTCGACCTCCGGACAGAAATCCGAATGAAGACGCTTGTGTCTGCAAAAGCAGAAATCCCCAGACTGGTTGGTTGTTTGCATAATTAATTATGATTTGCTTTGCACTGCTCAACAGTGTGGAAATCGTCTTGTAAATGGTCATAATTAATTTTCCAGCGAAATTGTTCAAACGATTTCGCCTATCGAATTGCGTTTAACCTGAAAATAAGTGTCGAAAGACGTTAAGAGGGAGTTGGCCGAGCAGCAAAAAGCGGCAAAAAGGTGAGAGGTGCGCAGGTGAAGAGCTTTCAGCTGACGAGGCATCCACATAGCGAGCGTTGACTCCGAAAGAAAAACGGAAAAGCCCAACAAACCACCAAGACGGGCAATTTGCACACACCAAAAATTATTACTCGGATTTCGTGAGGAAGGAAATATTGAATGAAATATTGTTTAAAGAAATTAAGTAGTTAATTTTATTAATGGAAAATAGTTTTTCCTTTTACTTAACTGGTTTTCATAATTATATTTGTTCCCTACCCATTATCCAAACTTCTTTCGTGATTATTTCAATTACGGCTTTTATGCCCTTTTAATTAAAACTAATGTGTTATCAGATTCAAGATGATCTTATTTCTTACCGTGCAATTTTCGTTTTTGGCCATTCGTTTTCCGTTTTCCGTTTTTATTTGTATTTTTATTTTCATTTTCATTTTCGTTTGCATTTCATTTGATGATAATCTGCCATCTGCGATTTGCTTTTAAGCCAACGCCCAGGCCATCGTCCCCTGGCCAATATATATATATATATATATGTTCATGCCATATCTCCAGGAGCCAACGCCTAGAAAAAACGAAACAGGGAAATGTAGGAGTTGCTGTCACGCTTTTGTCTTCAACTCCTTTTTGGCCCTTTGTGTTTGCCTTTTTGAGAAATTAGAATGCAAAATCCAACCGCCCGCTTTTCCTTTTCCGCACTTAAACACACACACACATTTACAAACACACACACACACACACACCTTTTGGGCCATCAACTGTTTCTGTTTCTGCTTATTTATTATGATTATTGTCGTGGCCCCGTGACTGTTTCTCCTCTTTTTTTTTATTGTCTGTGCCCCGCCATTTTTTTTTATTTATTTAAGTTTTTCTTTTTTATAGTTTTTTCTTGATGTTCTTAATTTATGTTTAGCGTTACTGGCTGTGGCGCTCTCTTCTTTTTTTTCTTTTTTTTTCGCCTTTTTTGTATTTGTTGGCCGGAGTTGTTGACTCATTCGGGAACGGCGATTCATAAGCTCTGATTAGCAGGCACGCGTCACGCTAATGAGTTGTTCTTGTTCTTGATTCTGTTTATGTTTATGATTCTGCTTGTTTATCTTTTCCGGCTGGCTTTTTGTTGCAGCAATTGCTAATGGCCTTAATGTTGCTGCAGCCGGTGGATTGGATACTTACTTCAAATGCCTCCTATCAGTGTCTAACGGTTGCAACGGTTTTCGTATAAATTATTATATTTTATTTACCTTTAATCCGTTAATCGCCGGATCTTATCAAACGGATCGATCGATTCGAATCATCACCGAACAGCAGCTGTTGAAATTTCTCCGCAATCAGCTGAGACAAGTGTCAAAAACAGCTGTTTTCAAACCGAAAGCTGTGTGTGTGTCAGATCAATTCAGCAGGTGTGTTTTGTTCATTAAAAGCTGCTGATTAATTTCAACCGGTAATTGATTGCCGGGGATTAGTCGCTGGCTGGCGTGCTCCAGTTCTATTAATTGAATCCAGTGTTTTCCCAGTAGGTGTGATACCAGTTTTTGAATGGCAAACACCTGCCTGCGAATCGAAAACTCAGCTTTTATCGATGGCACGATAGAAGTGTCATCGCAGCTCTGACAGTTGACTGCTGCCTGTTGGTTTTGAATTTATTCGAGCCGACTTCAGCGAAGAAAATAAGGAAGACTTAAAAGCCACAGAGAGAGAGAGAGAGAGGAGTGAGAGAGGGCGAGGGGGCAGAAGGGGAGAGAGAGAAACGAAGGTGGAGCTGTGGATCGGCGACATGTGTCGCCTTGTAATGCAAATGTTATCTGCGTTTCCTGTTGCGATGAATGGCAATGCCAGGCAGTTCGGATCGGGAACTCCTTGCCCAATCCCCCCATCCCCTCCCCCCTGGTAAACCCAGTTGGCAACCCCCCGCCAGAACCTCCCGAAGCTATTCAGCATGCATATGCATGCAGCACACATGGCAGACAGTGGAGACATTGGAGACACTGGAGACCCTGTTTGACAGCCAGTGGTGGTCGTGAGTCGAGCAGACGACCCATAAATCTTGCAGCCAGCCTTCCTCCCCTTTCTCCCGTCCAGCCCCCCAGCTCCCCGACAAAGTGTTCATCAATCAAGCGGATAGTTTTACATAATTAAACGAATAATCAATGTTTTCGCCCAGGGGCGTCACAAAGGGGGCATGAATTGCAAAATCATGGCCTTTCTGAAGAGAGTGGGAGGACATTCAAAGATAGTTTTTTCTGGGTGTGTAGGATTTTACTTGCGAGGTAATTCAACTGCATTTTCCGCTGATCTGAAGGAATCTTTATATCCGTCTAAAAATATAAATAAAATAAATAATAAATATGATAATAATAAATATAAATAAAATAAATATAAATACATAAATAAAATCACAACATAAAGAAAGGTTTTCAATTGTTATCTCTTTTTATTACATCAAATATTATACATACTTTACATATTCCTTTTTTTTTGATTACTACCAAAGGTTATGTTTATGTTGTTAAACTGGTTTACTTGGCAATCTTCGCAACCAATGACTTACAACAACCAACATTTTCCCGCTCTTCCCTTCCAGCCGCAGAGTTCGCACCGTTCGTTTTTCCTCCAGAAGAGCCGGAATCCGGAGACAGCCCCAAGATTGCTCCCATCAGCACCATGAACGGCCAGGGCTGCGAGCTGGGCCACAGCAACGGGGACATCATCTCACAGAACCAACAGAAGGGCTGGTGGACCATCGGGCTGATCAATGGCCAGCACAAGTACATGACCGCCGAGACCTTCGGGTTCAAGCTCAACGCCAACGGCGCCAGTCTGAAGAAGAAGCAGCTGTGGACCCTCGAACCCTCGAACACCGGTGAAAGTAAGTGCCATGGGGCCAGCCAAAAGTTAAGATTTAGCTATTGGTAATGCTATTTAATGCTAAATTAAACCGTAGGTTCTTAGAGGTACAAGTCATATAGATTACAGGCCTAGAAGTGGAGGTTTTTCGGTTATGTACTGTAAGTACGTGTATTAACTAGACGACCCAAAAAGTATTTACCTATACTTAGATATTTAAACAACAAACCCATAAAGGTACGCCACTTCAAAATCGGTTGGAAATTGAAAAAGTCTTAGAAGGGCTGGTTTTTGAAACTTTTGTGCAAGCCCATTTTTCGAAAACTTGGAAAGGGGTTGCATCATAAAAACTAAAAAAAAAATCAGCCCAAAAACATAACATGGAAAGACGTTTACCAACATCTGATTACATTTAAAATAGTTATGTGCTTAGACAAATTGACTAAAAGTTAGAAATGGAATTTAAATGAAGTGTTTTAGTGAGTTGAAACTTTAGCTGGTGGAAGAGATTAGTTATAGTATGGTTATAGGTTTATGAGTGCGGGAGTGAGGCACATTTTCCGCACACCTCGCTTTTGAAAATACTGAGCAAATTTTAGGGACATTCGCTGTGGCATTGGCTAAATCGCAGCTGTTGCTTCGCACACTTCGCAATTGGCAACTCGATTTCTGGCTAATCGAAGGCGCACCTTAACATTTATGGTAAATGGCAAACAATACGCATGTGGTCGCTTATCTGGGCAAAAACCAAACCGAGCCGATAAGCTTAATCCGACGGCTGCAAGTGATTTTTGTTTTTGTTTTTGTTTCATTTGGGTTTCCATTTAGTTTTAGGGAGTGGAGGAGCCACTGCGAACCAGTTACCCCAACTCTTGGTCGAAGTCGAAGTCGAAGTCGAAGCCATTTGCCAGCCGTAATCACTATCATCTCGGCCAGTTAGTGGAGTCTCTTTTTCTTTTCTTTTCTTTTATTTTATTTACAACAAACAAAACACACAACATACATAAATCATTTGGGTTGGGGTCTCTTACGGAGCCCGATAATTCCAGTTGCACTAATTTGACGTGCTGGAGAGTGGAAAACAAAGCGCCTCACGAATTTGGCATCATTTATCAAGCGGCCGCTGCATCAAAATTGGAATTGGATTTGGATTTGGACCTGGCTTTGGTGGAGTAGCTCCTGCACTTGGAGTTGGAGTTGGAGTTGGTCTGGAGTTGCTCTTCTTTGTGTCCGTGGCCAGCAATTACAATTAAAGCTGCCCCGGCCCGAGTCGAGCCAGAAAGCAACTGGTTTTTTTTTATTCGCCGCCTGGCCGCTCTGGTCGTTGCCACTGGCAATTAATAAACATTTTCTATAATACCAAAGCCATAAGTCAGCCAGCATTCGCCGGCATTCGCTGTGGCCATTAAAATAGCTCATCCAAATTGAAAATTGTCTTGCTTCGCTTGCCGGCTCGGCCTTGGAGCTCCCAGAGCTCTCAGAGCTCCCAGATAATACCAGCTTAATGCCACCGGTCATGGTGGATATGGGGATTGGCCAAATGGCTCAATAGATGGATGATACCATTCAAAATGTTTGGAAAGCGAGCCGGATCGAAATGGCCGGGGAGTATCGATTGCTCCAATGTCATCGACAACGGCTGTGAGCACAGCCAAATCGATTTTCGAATTTGTCCCACTCCGCAGGGGGTACTTTTCTATTTGGGGAAGGAGTCACTAGTTTACGATGTGTCATTAATATTATACTAAGCATAAAAGGAACACCTTTGAAAGTTAGCTAGATTCTATAGAAATGTTATAATCTTTACTATTTCCGTAGTTTTAAAATTCAACTCATATTAAATTATAAGCATAAAAGAAACACCTTTGAAAGTTAGAAAGATCCTATAGGATATATATAATCCTTACTATTTCCGTAGTTTTAAAATACAACTTATATTAAATTATAAACATAATAGGAGCACCTTTGAATGTAAGATTTCTGTAGGAAATATATAATCCTTACTATTTCCGTAGTTTTAAAATTCAATGCATATTAAATTATAAATATGATTATGTTTTATGTAAGGAACACCTTTGAAAGTTAGGTAGATTCGATAGGAAAGATATAATCTTTACTATTTCCGTAGTTTTAAAATTCAATTCCTATACTGATTAAATTTTTTGGAACATTAAACTTTATAAATACATGGAAATAAGAGAGCTTTACCTATAGTATGGTACTCATTACAAATCAGGTTTCCCGATTGAATTCAAGCTGCGATTTGCAACGCTTGTCGGAGATCCTTTGGCGTTGAAAAGCCTCACTAATCCGATTTGCATCCGCTCTGCTCGCAGGTATTATCTACTTACGATCTCATCTGAACAAGTACCTATCGGTCGATCAGTTTGGCAACGTGCTCTGCGAGAGCGAGGAACGGGACGCCGGCAGCCGCTTCCAGATCAGCATCAGCGAGGACGGCAGCGGCCGCTGGGCGCTGAAGAACGAGTCGCGCGGCTACTTCCTCGGCGGAACGCCGGACAAACTGGTGTGCACGGCCAAGACGCCCGGCGCCAGTGAGTTCTGGACGGTTCATTTGGCGGCCAGGCCGCAGGTCAATCTGCGCTCGATCGGACGCAAGCGGTTCGCCCATCTCTCCGAGTCGCAGGACGAGATCCATGTCGATGCCAACATTCCGTGGGGCGAGGACACGCTCTTCACCCTCGAATTCCGGGCCGAGGAGGGCGGTCGCTATGCTCTGCACACGTGCAACAACAAGTGAGTGATTGGAATCTAAATCTAATTATTTGAGTGATAACTAATATAGTGCTGCTTTGATCCCGTAGATATCTGAATGCCAATGGCAAGCTGCAGGTGGTGTGCAACGAGGATTGCCTGTTCAGTGCCGAGTACCATGGCGGCCACCTGGCGCTCCGTGATCGCCAGGGCCAGTACTTGTCGCCCATTGGATCGAAGGCGGTGCTCAAGTCGCGCTCGTCGTCGGTGACGCGGGACGAGCTCTTCTCGCTGGAGGATTCGCTGCCGCAGGCCTCCTTCATTGCCGGCCTCAATTTGCGCTACGTGAGCGTCAAGCAGGGCGTCGATGTGACCGCCAACCAGGACGAGGTCGGCGAGAACGAGACGTTCCAGCTGGAGTACGATTGGTCGGCGCACCGCTGGGCACTGCGCACCACCCAGGATCGCTACTGGTGCCTCTCGGCGGGCGGCGGCATCCAGGCCACTGGGAATCGGCGCTGTGCCGACGCCCTCTTCGAACTGATTTGGCACGGCGATGGGTCGCTCTCGTTCCGGGCCAACAATGGCAAGTTCCTGGCCACCAAGCGGTCAGGGCATCTGTTCGCCACCTCCGAGTCCATCGAGGAGATAGCCAAGTTCTACTTCTACTTGATCAATCGGTAAGAGAGGGATGCTCAGCTTAATGAATTTATTCCGAACTAATTGGTTACCTTGTTAATTACAGACCCATTCTCGTGCTGAAGTGCGAGCAGGGATTCGTGGGCTACCGCACGCCCGGCAACCTGAAGCTGGAGTGCAACAAGGCCACCTACGAGACCATCCTGGTGGAGCGGGCCCAGAAGGGACTGGTGCACCTGAAGGCGCACAGCGGCAAGTACTGGCGCATCGAGGGCGAGAGCATCTCGGTGGACGCCGATGCGCCCAGCGATGGGTTCTTCCTCGAGCTCCGCGAGCCGACCAGGATCTGCATAAGGTGATCTATAATTCAGGGATTCCAGTTGGAGTGAAAGCAGCAGAATTACGTTATTTTGAAAGAAGAAATTTGTTATGTGAAAGAAGCTTACTCCATAGGGAGTAAACTGTTTCTAAGCTGTTTCAAATGGGAAAACCATTTACATTTTCCCTCTGCTTTCCCTCAACTTACTGTTCCCTTTATCCTTTTATAATTTACTAACTTACTAAATGCACCTTTTTATATTGTTTTTAGATCGCAACAGGGCAAGTATCTGGGCGCCACGAAGAACGGGGCGTTCAAGCTGCTGGATGACGGCACCGACTCGGCCACCCAGTGGGAGTTCTAGGGCGGGACCACGCCCCCTTCCACGTCATCATCAGTATCACAATCACACACACACTTCCCATCCGAGCGGGGATTCCCTAATAATTATCGATCCGCAGCTGAAGCGCTGAGAAAAGTCGCACAAGAATTTGATATCCTAAACAACAATTGCAACTTGAAAAACAAAAAAATACATTATGAAAATACAGAGAGGAGACAAGAAAACTCGAGTGAATGGAATATGAAGAAAATACTTATATATTTATATATAAAGATCTATACATAGAGAGAGATTTTTTTTAAACAACCTATTTAGCTTTTTATACGTTTTATACGATGAGAATATCTACAAAACGAGAACAACAAATTTTTTAGCGTAGACAAACAAAACTTCTGTCGCGAGTCCTTCCGTTTTATCAAATATATCAGCAACTAAGCCAGCAAAAAAGAAATGAAAGACATAATGGTTATACAAGCACATCATATATACACCTATATATACATATTCGATTCGTAAAGCTTAACGGAAATACAACCGGAAACAAAAAAAAAAAAAGAAAAGAAAGGGAATAAAGAGCAAGGAAAACAAAAATAAATGAAAAGAAAAAAAAAATAAAAATAAATCAAAACATATTCCTATAAATTTATTTATATATTTATATACATATTGATATGAACGATAAAACACTGACACACACACACATACACACGATCCCACACATACACACACAAAACTACACATACCAACACAAGCAAGCAAGCAATTTTAATACGCAAAACAAAATTTAGTCACTAAGCAAACCCTAAAAAATAATCTGTAATAAAATCGAAGTCAAAAATCAAACTTCAAATCCCTTCGTACGGCGATTTTGCAATGGAATCAACTCCACTATATCTAACATATGCATATATTGAATTAGTTTTTTGTTATTTATTTGCGTCAATTTCTTAATTAATTAATTAGTGAACTTTTTTTTTAATTTGTGCACTTCAAATCGAAACAAAAAACTCAACCCAATTTAGTTGCTAAATCTTAAAATGGAAATTTTGTATGATACATATGAAATATATACATATATACATGATTCTTGGGCATTTTGATGGGTTGAATATGGAGAACTGGTGGATTGTGGGTTATTTTTCTTTAAGCTGTTAACGGACAACGTTTTAAATTTGAAATAAAATTACATATATCTGGCAGCTCTACTTCCAAAGCTTCCAACGCTGTGCGCCACTCTGGCAACTCTGTCTTGAGCGCAAAGCTAAGAGCCGTTGAGTCTTTAAAGTAATGTTTAAGTTTGGTTAACTTTGGTCTTTAAACGTACATTTTACTGAAGTGACTATTGTTTTCAATTCGAAAGTAGTTGAGGGAGATTTTTAATTGTTCCTAAATTGTGTATTCAAAATATGAAAGTGCAACAAATGTGGAAAGTGTTGTCGCGTAATTCAATAAGTCTGAGGGCCGCCAGTTCCTGATTGACTGGCTGACAAATGGTTGGCTCCACTTTGCATTCTTGCAACGCCCACGAACCACGAACCACGAACTGCGGGCCACCTGCAACGTGTGCGGAAATTGGTGCCAACTGTCATAACAAGATGGAGCACCCACCACACACACACACACACACACCCGCACACACCCACTAACACTCCTATAAATTCGGTGGCAACCAGGGAACAAAGGGGCGTGGCCGGTGGGGGCGAACACTTCGTCGTTGGCGTCCAACTGCCTCCGTAAGGCAATAATAATTCGCCAGTCATTGACAATGTCGGTGCCATAATGGCTCTCCACTGGCTTCAGTTCCCCCGCCCGCCCCCCTCCTCCCACTCTGAACTATTCCGCATTTTGTACCCCCTTTTTGCGGGGGCGGGGGGAGGGGTTCTTAACTTCGGCCCCCATCCCCATGAAGCCATTATCCTGGCAGCTCCTGCTGCTCGCTCGTGCTCTTTGCTGCACTGCGTCGACCGACGACGCTGACAAAAACGAAATGACAGAGGACGCGCACCCGACACCTACAATTGTCAGCGTCGTCTAAATGAATGAATTAAGTCAGCCATGTGACATGGCTGCAATGGCCGGACCCAAACGAACTCGGACCCTTGCCCCCCCGCCTTCTCCTGGAACCCCTCCTCCCCCCGAAAAGTCCCTTCTGAGCTCCCAATCTCGCAATCTGGGTGCGGGGGCTCCAAGCCAGAACAGCAAAACAGACACCGCCGCCGTCACTTCCCCGAAAAGCCAACTCTGCACATTTGCCACATTGTTTCCTTGCTGTCATTCTTGATTTCACTGCACTGTGATTCGAGTGCATCCAATGGTCTTTTTACAATTTCTGCAACATTTATTGACTTTTTTTAATCTTAAAACTAGTTCCCTTAAATTAAATGTAATGCATTAAATGTACATGCTTAGAATCATTAACATATATAATTTTAAAGATTAACTTATTTGCTGACTAACAGAAATGAGTATGAAACTGTGTTTTTAGGTCCCTATAAACTTAAAATGATTTCATTTTATCTATAACAAAAACACATTTATTATGTATGTATATTTATATATTATATATTTACAATATATAATTATTATATTATTAAAATCAAACATTTTAAAGTTTTAGGAGGTATATTATTTATTTATGCAATCTTGTGTTGTGCAGAATTCGAATTTATACAAAGTGAGTTAGGATAATTAATATGGCTTTGGTGACCCCGAATCGCGTGACCTCTGATGGCCACTGTGCTCCTCCGCTTTCGCTGTCGCTGTTGTGATTACGTACTGCACTCGGTGCACAATGGACAGCGACGATGACGATGACAATGACGCCGGCCAAGTTATATGGCACACACGTAGGGCGACTCCGGCCCACGCCCACGTCGGCATAACGACCACCTGCCACCCGCCCCCCGCTCCACCTCCCACCTCCGAGGGCAACCCAACCACCCAACCACCCACCACCCACCAATTGAAACTCAACCCGGCTGCCCGGCAGCCCGAATGCAATCCAACCCGGCCAAACGACTTGGCGCAGGACAATGGCGGAATGCAAATGGCACACGGACGTGGAATGGATGAACACGGTGCGAAAATTTATATGCAACTTCAGACGGCGGACTTGTGCAATCTGGCGCCGAATCCCTGGCCACTGGAGTCCACCGGATCCCGGGAACCGGGGCAGCACGTAGCCGAGTCCGCCCGGCAATTTGTGGCAGTGCAGACGGCCGCCAATTAAGCAACAAAGGGGCCGCGACTCCAACTCCAACTCCGATTCGGATTGGGATTCAGATTCAGTTTCAGATTCAGATACAGATTCAGATTCCGGGTGGTGGTGGTGGTGGTGCGGGTCGCCATTAAAACGGGGCGACGTTGCGAAATGTTTGTGACGAAACGAAACGAATCGAGACTAAACTAAACTAAACGTACTGGTGGCCCCCGGACTCAATCCGGGTCTGCAACTTTCTCCGCCGGACTCTTTGTTTTTTTCCTTTAACTTGCTGCACATTTCGCAACAAAGTTGCCGGCAGCAAAGTAGCAAAAGCAAACTTACACCGTGCAAAATACCGAATGTTTACAACACTCTAAAAATGACCTACTTAAATTTTAGTACAGAATTTATTTGATTTTTTAGGGTCTATGATAACTTACTCACATTTTAAATTTATAGTTCTTAGTCAGATTTGAAGGTTATTGATTTGTTTGTGAAACCAAATCCACAAATTTTCTCGCAGTTGAATGCCGGAAAAACGGTTTGGCAAAGTCACAAACTTTATGGCTCTATTGCTCCATCTCGGGGCTTTCAATTTCCTTTTTGCATTTTTATTGTTTAGCGAAATGTGTAAGGACATCTGGGGGGCGGCTGCAGCCAGGACCAAAGGAGCAGAGGCAGGACCGCCGAGTTCCGTGCCCAACAAGTGGACGGCCGACCTGAAAAAGGAGCAGAGAGGCGGAGGGGAGGGGCAAGGAAATGGGAATGGGGGAATGCCGGTGGTAGTGGATGGTCTAATTTGCTAAATTACCGTCTGAGCCACCTTAACCGAAAACTTCACACAATTTTCACTTAATTAAAAAATATACACGATTCCCCGGGAGGCGGCGACTTAAGTAGACGATTTAAAACATCAGGCAAATCATCAACTGGTTTAAAGAGTTTAAAGGCAATTAAAGAATTGATTTATTTTCCAAAGCTGCTGTTCCAAGTTGTATCCAAGCTGCATCATTCGCATTCTTCTGCGTTGAACAATTCTGTTGCTTAAGGCTTTTTCACGTTTTCTTGTAGGGCTGTTTGTTCGTCGCAGATTCTGCGACAATACTGGCTGAATTAATATTAATTACGTTTCCTCAAGCTGCGACAAATAGTCAACAAATAATTACATTAAAAGTTCAAAGGGCACGTTTCGTTTTGTGTGCGCCTTAAAGGTTGTCGCCTTTTTCAGTGTGCATTTGAAACTTAAACTTCGGCTCACCGTGTTCATCATCTCGCCGGAAATTCGCTAAGAACGTGAAAATGTGTGTGGGCATAAAGTTGAAAAGAAAGTTTCTGGGGGAGTGTTGCTTTGCTTTCTCACATGAGGTTACAACTATTTTTGGCGTTTTAGTCGTCGGTGGATGTGTATTATATGTGACTTTAATTTTAAAGCCGTGAATGCTGTTTGCCAGAAAGTTACTCAACAGCTTAACTTGTAACCTTCTGGCTGCAATCGAAAAGGATCTAGTGTATGAAGTAGTGGATGCCTCGGTACTTGCACTCGATCGTGAACTTCTGGCTCCTCCTTCCGTTCCAGCAGTGGCCCAGGGATCACCCGGCGCGGTTTGGTGGTCCCCAGGAACGGGCGCCTCGCTCCCACCTCCTGCAAACAACTGAGGCTGAAGGCGGAACGACGCAAGGCCACCTGCGCTTCCCTCTGCTCCTCGTCGTTCAAAGCTGCCAGGTTGAAGCTAAGGAACTGCGGATATACGATGCCATCGGGACGCAGGAACCGATCCCGAGCCCATATTAGATCGTACCTTTGGCGTCTGGTTAGAACGCTGTGGCTAAAAATGTGATTGCCTTTAAAGGGCGCTATTTTTGGGGGTGTTTGAAGATACTGCCAAGCATGTAATTCATCTACTTAATTTTAGCTACGATATTAATAAGCTGGGAAGAGTTAGGAAACATATACATATTGGTTGGAAGCTCTATCTAATTGGCCACGGGTCATCCGTGGCCATCACGTGGAAGGCTCCAGCCTGCGCTGCAAACGTTGCGATCAGTCCGTTTCCACAGGCGATGTTGAGCACTGTATTTGGAAAATTTGCATCACGGGGTTTTGTGCTCATGGGGATTATTTCTACGGAACGCCATTAAACCCTCATTTTTTTTAAACATGGCTGTCGGCATCTATGGCTGCCTGGAAGACATCTTCCTTGCGTATCGTGTAAGTAACTGACGAACCCATGCTTTCCTTAAATAAATTCTCTCAAATTGATAGATATTAATGGCGCCCAAGAGTTACCAGCCGTATAGAAAGCTGCAGTAGTGTGACCAGAACGCAATCGACTTATTGTGAGTTGCCAGTTCAGTGTTGAA